ACTTTAGCAAACATCTTTAAACCTCGCCAGTCTGATTAGAGTCTTATCAACGCAATCATGTATGCAAATCATCAGTATAAACAGTCAAGCAAATTTCCTGCAAACCGAAAACACTGTCGACGTTATCCCAACACTGACTGCGGTCCAAGTCATTATCATAGACATGAGTTGGGAGTTGTACTCCTCCTGGTTTCAACTTATATTTTCCATGATAATCACATGAGCATCAGTCACTATTTGTTATCTTCTTAAGACTTGTCTAGCCGAAAGCATCTTTCATCACCACAGCATCTATATGTGTGACGAATTTGCTGTGTTGATTTCCACAACCTATATTCACTTAATTTCAAATAAGTCGTTTTCTACCTTGTGCGAAACTCGATAAATGCAATTAACTTATATGCACCATCAGCCAGTAGGTGTTAGTATAAACAACACTGAGTCTAGAACATGTCTCTCATGAATGCACTCATGTTTAACAAATTGCTTTTAGCTATCTGTCAAAAATGCACACAAGTACCACTATTTTCACGTAAAAGAATTTTTAATAACCAATTATATGTATTGGTAGTATTACTAAATTCTATCACAGGTAACTAATGGTGAGGTCGACGAAATCTCTCACTAACTAAATAAACCGTATCAAACTTAATAAACTCACTGGAACACTAGTTGGAACTGTTCTTCTCCACGGTCATACCTTTGTTCCTTCAGAAAGCCTGCTAATACAGATGGAATAAGAAATGAACTCATTTGGATGGCGTATTGGTATAAGCGTTATTCAAATTGATAATTCAAGCCCAAAAATGATACCATTATCGATATTTCTATAATGTTGGTTGTTTTCACTAATTCTAAACACAAAGTACTTGTACTACCTATAAGTTAAGCTATCAACCAACGGCTATTACTACTCATGTTAGTGCGACTTATTAATATATTTCTATACGAAATCATTCTTAATTATTATAATCCTAGTTTGTTTAGTTCTTAACTAATTTTGGTCTGCATTTCATTTCGCGTGTGTTAAGAGTAAAACCAAATATTTTGAAACTACTATATGTATTACTCGATCAGCTGATATCGCTTTCTTTCTGATTTATCTTTCAGCTTATCAATACGGGGGGATTCTTATTATTTTCGGTAACCTCCGGCGCGTGATAATCCTACTGGATTTGGGATCGAATCAACGTTACATTGATTCTGGTGGTAGAGTAGTGTAGTGGCATTTGACCCGAACCACATGGCTTTTGAAGTCGGGCATATAATTTCTGAAATAACTTGTATTCAACAATTGACACGAAGAGGAGGTTGATTATGGAGAACGCGAGAAACGTAATTCAATAAATCGGCCGGCATGGCTCAGCCTCGCAGGCGTGGTCATTCTTGTGTAATTTGTCTCTTCTATTCACATTAAATTTATAGCTCTATCCCCAGTCTAAATGTGTTCTCCAACATATGTTGGTGATTCTCATGATAAAACGAGTCAGCGTAGACAATGATGCGATCTTAAAGATCAGGCAATTATATCATGACATATACGATCTTGAGATTAGATCTATTATTAGAGCAGTACTAATAACGAAGTAGACCTTAGTTTTACAAATTCATGTACAACGTACGAACAGTGAAATAGTTACAGTCACTCTCGAATATCCACTCGCAATACATGCCAAAACAGCGCCACTGGTACATTTCGAATTAGGCAAAAGCCGGATGCTACTAACCTGTAGCCACTAAAAATCGACTACGCATCCTTACACTACTTTAAGGGGACTTAGTATTGAAATGGAAGGGTCAGAGATGTGTTTCTTGCTAGAACGTCTAATTGAACCTGGCTCTCCTCTGATGTTACGGACGATAGAGTGATAACACAAATTATGACACTACTCAGATATGACAGAGAACACTGAATAAGTAGCGGAATATTTATCTACGTTTCCAAGAGCTTTAAAGCTACGATACCTCCTGCTATTAAATCGGCTCAGCTACCATAGTCCTATCACTGCTAACTCAACGAGCACTCAATTAGAGGAATAAACCACCTCAATAGAAATTACACACATGGGGGGAAGACATTCGAGGTGATATTGTCACCACTTCACTTGGATTTTGTTCCGATACTCCTAGCTAGCGACTTCAGCTACCGATCGGTAGGTTATAATGAGGAGTATGTGGGACCTTCAGAATGACTTCACAAACGACTCGGCGCTGATACGCAATCATCGATCGCATTTATTATGATTCCAAGCAAGATACTACAGTGTGAACTGTCCTTAGGCCAAGCTAAATAAAGAAGCTAAACTAAAGACATCACGGTGTATTTATAACCCAACGGAAAATTATAGATGTCATCATAGTAGAATCGAGGGAAGTCTTTAATGCTCAGTTTGCCATAAGGTTAAACCAAGCACTTACAACTGAAGAACACTCTTCTACTGGCCTGGGAAACATTCACCCAACCTCCAATTTAGTACTGAGAACAATTTCGTCCCTTCAGCCAGGCAAGTCATCGAGATATAACAACATAGAACTCAAAGTTGTATAACGATGAACGGAGACTATCATCACATTTATATATGTGATTTGTTCCATCAACCCCCTAAACAGTCAAACTGGGGGCAATCTCCCTATAATCTTCAGAGGAACAGACAAGAAAGACATGGCTCGTTGCAAGTAATCACGTCATTCCCGATATTGCTCAAGGTTTAGGTTTAGAAGCAGTTGGTCGGCGACTAAGTAAAGGAATATACGGGCCATGGAGCTCAAACACAGAGTTTGGAAAGTAAGGTTTTGGAGTTTAATCACCGGCTAAAACATCTGCAACCAACAAGTACCAGGGCACGTAGTACTAATTGATTCTGCAAATGAATCCAAAAGTTTACCACATTTGTTTTACAACAAAAAGATTTCGGGTTGGATTATCCTAGCATACTACTCCCAGAGCTCTCAAGTCAATTAGAGGGGCAAATATTCCATACTAAGGTAGGCAGGGAGTCCCCCCACACTAGGACTCTAGCACCCACAGTCCCATGGGGAACTACTTCAAGTCCATTCACTTGATTACTTCCATGAATTGTTCCTTATATAAAATTGGCTTGCTGGTCTACATTCACGTTAATTATGTCAAGTTCTGGAAAGGGGTAAACTTGCGTTCGAAAAAGACACCAAGTTAAAAGAACGTCAGGAAAATAGTTTAAAATTCAGCCTTTCCAAATGCCACGCTATGGACTTTAAACCTCACATTACACAAACGACCTGCATGTTTCGTAACTATCCTCTTTCAGATTTATTCACTTGACAAACACGTATTCACCCATGTATTATCGTCCCACATTTGATCAGCCGTCTGATGTGTTTCGTAAATTACCACGGTTATCACTGCTGCACATCAGCAACTACTTCTTATGCTTCCCATCTCTGTTTACCCTCTAAAGCTTTTAGTTTCGTCTTTTCAAATATTACAAGATACGCAAGTCCATTAATATATATCCACTTGACTAAGATTAATGAAGTCGAGTGGTTAGACTATCACTAATTGTACATTAACAAATACATGGATGCATACCGAATCAAAGAAAGTGAGCGCAAAGAAATCAACCAGTCGAGTGACTGGACTACGAACAATTTAATTTTCTGAAAGATCTGGAAGCGTAACGAAACAGAAAAGATCATGTGCATAGGTGAAAAATGGTTTATATAAGCAAATGACGGGAACACTGAATACCAGTTCAATCACTACACCTTTATCCATTAAAGTAAACGCATCTTTGAGGTGACCTGGTGGCTCACAGTGGACATCCTCTAAAATACCAACTAAGTTTTGCTCTAACATAAACCTAAGGGGTAACACCCAGAAAAGAGACATGTAGTGGTAGATGAATTCTCAAAACAAATAGCTTTGTGAGTTTTCGGTATTGGATGCTGACCACATTATTTTTGATGGACTCACCTAGCTGAAGACGCTCGGTCATGCATCCGCACCACATCACGAGTGGGAACGCCGTGCTCAACAACCCCTGCAGCGCTAGTCAGATTAGGTCAGACGATCCTCGATATATTGTAACTTATCAAATATATCTTCGAATTTCCTCGCTTCTGTCTTTTAATTTCACTTGGTGGATACGATTCATATTAGGTGTTACTGGTCAAAGCGTTGTCCAACTCCAAATACTTATGACATCTTCCAGCACAACACAGCAGAACGAACTGTAGACACAACTTCTACTCCTTAAGAGTTAACAAGTGATGGAATTTGCTGCCGGCCGAGCTATTTCAAGCACATTTACAGGAGTCGCTTAAGAGGAAAATTTACCTGTTCTTAAGGACTGAGGATAATATCTTACAACGATTTGCCGATTTCTTTTTCCTCAATTATCGTTGATATACCTAGATTCTTGAATGAAAGTGTTGCTGATCAACTGTTAATAGACACGGAAGGTCGTTGATGAAACGCTTCTTTTATTTCATCTACAACCATTTGAACCACTTGAAATCACTACAAAGACATTGGGCATTAGAAATGTTTTGAAGTTATGTTATCATGGTTACAAGGGCGCCCGTTTCAAAAGGGATTTTGTAATACTAACAAGGTAAGATAGGGACGAACTTTAATTTGAAATTATTGATTGATTGGTCGTTTGGATCTATACATCCAATTAAGCATTTGCAGTTGGCTAGAATTAAATCAAGCTGAGAATGTACACGCATCTCTTCGGGTTATTTACTCCATCAGCTATTCCAGTCAACTATATAGTTTCTCATTACAATCTACTTCTATTTTTGATTACAAAATAATCTTAATCTGGGGCTTGTGTTACTGCTGATTGTTACCTTTTGCGCTTTTTAGTAAATGTAAGTGCATATGCACTTACAATATTGTTCTCTTGTTGGGTCGTCGATCAACTTCTTTGTTCTTTTTTCCAGCCCTCACAAATGCTACTCTGCATACTCCCCTAGTATATACCAAGTACCACCTGGATAGACGTGAACCGCTTCATATGGTCAGAATGAGAAGTAAGGATTTCTCATCTTGGTAAAGATATCTTGACTTAAAGTTGTTAAAATAATAAACATTAAGACTGAGAATTATATAGTTAATTGCAAATTTGACAAACCAGCGTAAAAATCCCCATCAGAACTCTTCGGTAATATATCAAATGACATTCGACATGTCTTAAGTTTACCGTTTTGTACTCTTTAAATTTCTGCTAAGGTACGCCTATAAACAAAGTCTATCCATAATCCAAGTCAAAACCAAGGTTTATTTCAACTGGTCTAGGCCAATATTTCAAGTTTTAAAAATTCTTCTGATGCAAACTTGCTTAAACATTAGGATTCTACCATCTGGAGAACCAAAAGGTTCCAAGAATTGATGACTCGGTGTGAAAACATGTATGCCATGGGTATCTTGTTCGTTCTTGAATTTTCTACATGCTGGGTAGGAAGAGAATAGAGGACATATCAGGTTCAAGATCATTTCTTATCATCCTATATACTAGAATCAGATCATCTCGCGCTCGTTTCAAAAAGGGCAGTGATTTTTGTATTTGTGATTATACTTGCTTTGGGTACTTATTGCACCCAAAAGCATTCTTGGTCTACTTTAACTAAAAGTAATTTGGTTAAAGTTTGAAAGTTTTTGCTAAATTTTGTCCTGGTTACCTTTTTTTACTACTGACTAACACTTGTGTTCACATTGTGATCATTTTGCGCTTTTAAATCGAATTACAATGGTTGGTGAGACTCACAAATGTGGGCAACCAAATTGTTTGTTCCCCGTGGAGGAGGGAATGCAATGTGACGATTGTAAAAAGTATCACAAAATGTGTACACGCCTAAGTCCGACGGCTTACAAAAGGTGATCGAAGCCTAACTCGTATTGGCTTTGTATGTTCTGCTGTACGGATAGAAAGGTACTAATTCAGGAGGCTATGGGCCTATTGGCTTTGGCCTGCAAGAAAAACGATGGCTGAAGCAATGATAACAAGAGCACTGACGTAGAACAATGTGTCAGTGTAGTAAGTGCTGCTAATGGACCCGTTAAACACCTGACTGTGGTTGACGGGGACGTGAAATCTCCGTTGATATTGACATAGGCAGTCATACACTTCTAGTTGAAATAGAAGATCCGAATAAAACTGCCACCGTTCCACGTAGTCCAGGTGTGGCTGTCCTGACTGGTGACAAATGGACCTCAGTAAGGAGAAAAAGAAATGGGAAGAGGCTGTGGGCAAAACGCAGCTGGTCAGCAAGGCATTGGGAGGGATATTATCAGAAAAAAAATCCTCACTGCGTGACAAGACAGATCTCTCTGAGAGATCAGTCATTTTTCATAAGATAATCTTCAGATAAAGAACCAAAGGCGGGATTTAAACAGGATCTCAATCATATTAAGATGTCATTAAGTAAACTACTCCCAGATACAGTTTCAGGAGTCAGTATTTGTAAGCTTTATAGAATAGGAAAAAAGGTGGTTTCCGAAAGTCCTCCGAAAAACCGCCTCCTGAAGGTTACATTCAACACGGTGGAAGAAAAGAACCTGATTCTAAGTAATTCACGTAAACTGATAGGATCCGGAATATATGTCCGTGAGGATCTCAGCCTAGCTGATCGTATTAAGAGACGAGCTGCAGAAGCGAAAATAAATGAACGTCGCCAAAACGGGGAACGAAACCTTGTTCTTAAGGGTTTTCAAGTTGCAAAAGTTCGGAGCAAAACGATCCCCAAGCCACTCTGGGTGGTAAGGGAAAGCTCTCCACAGACTTAAAGGTATGCTACAGAAACGCTCGCAGCTTACTAAATAAAATGGCGGGCTCAAGTCAGTGGTGGATAAAGAAAAACTGGACGTTATTGCTGTCTCGGAAACTTGGTTAACGTCAGAAGTATTAGATAGTAAAATCCAGTTGACTGGTTTCATAACCAGTAGGGCTGATAGATTAAACCGTAGGGGAGGCGGGGTTATTCTGTACACGAAAAGTGCCCTAACCATAAGATTAGCTGAGACAGTAGCACATGTTTCAGGGACATGTGAACTGGTGAGATGTAAGTTGAAATACCGACGGCAAGATATTGAATTAGTTGTAGTATATCGCAGTCCAGAATGTGTAGCAGATGATTTTATCCTAAGTAAACTTAAGTCCTGGTGTAACAACGGTAAAAGTCTTGTAGTAGGCGACTTTAATGCACCACATATAAACTGGGTTAACTTAGAAGTAGGGTCATCCATATCGTCGTTTGACTGCAAACTGTTAGAAACCTCGATTGGATTAGCATTATTCCAACAAATTAGAGATCCCACAAGATACGACTTAAGAAACTCTTCCTCTCTTTTAGATTTAGTCTCCACACACGGTGATGATGTTGGTCAAATGGCTTTTCTCCCACCACTTGGGAGAAGTGACCATGCAGTCATCTTATTCAAATTCATGGCTGAGATTGCCTATCAAACAGTTGCACCGGCCCGTCCCAACATATGGAAGGCAGATATGCAGGCAATTAACTCCGCAGCATCGGCTGAGAACTGGGAAATTGACTCAAAGGCATCAGTACAAGAGGCGTGGACTCTATTCAGGCAGTTATACAATCGGGTAACTCAACCATACATACCCTGGACTGTCCCAAAGAAAAAGAAGCACGGACATCCTTGGATAGGGCGGGATATTCGACGTTTACTGAGACAAAAAAAGAAATGCTGGGACGTTGCCATCCGCCTAGGCACAGCAGGTACGATGGAACGCTACATATCGATAAGAAACGAGTGTATAACAAAAATTCGGGGAGCTCAAAGAAAATATGAAATGCAGCTGGCACAATCTGCACTAAAGCAGCTCAAGAGAATATTCTCGTACATAAACTACAGAACAAGGATGCATCATTGGATTCCCAACTTAATTAAAGTAGGAAGTGAATCCGAAATGATAGAGGAAGATTCGGAAAAAGCAGAGGCTATGGCTGACTATTTTGGGGCGGTTTCCACTCAGGAACCTCCTCTAGAGAAAGAACCAGACCCAAATATAGAGTCAACAAACCAACTGCTCACCGTGAACTTCGACCAAAACGATGTGCTTAAGGCTCTTAGCACCCTAAACATGGAGAAGTCAACAGGACCAGATGAACTACACCCCAAAATCTTGAGACATATTGCCCAATATATCGCGGCCCCACTGACTGTGATATTCAATATGTCACTTGACCAAGGTGTGTTACCTATGAACTGGAAGGACGCAATCGTCACTCCCATACATAAAACAGGTCCACGACAAGTCCCATCGAATTACAGACCCGTAAGCCTCACCAGTGTGGTAATTAAAATACTGGAAAGAATAATCAAACGGACCATAACGGCATTTATGGAAACCAATAACTTGCTGAACATGGCACAACATAGTTTTAGAAAGGGTCTATCTTGCACAACGAACCTCCTTATAGCAAGGGAGTTCTGGATTAATGCGCTAGACAACGGAAACTCAGTGGATGTTGTCTACATAGATTTCAGTAAGGCTTTTAACAAGGTGCCAACTAATAGACTGCTATTGAAGTTGGAAAACCTTGGTATTGCCGGACCTCTTTTAAAATGGATTAAGGATTTCCTAGTAGGTCGTAGACAAAAAGTAAGAATAAATTCCAAGTGCTCCATCTGGAGACAAGTACTTAGTGGAGTACCCCAAGGTTCCGTCCTTGGTCCTTTACTTTTTATAATGTACGTTAATGATCTTACAAGTATAGTACAGTCTCCAATGTTATTATACGCTGACGATGCAAAAATTTGGCGAGTAATAACTGGAGACAAAGACGCATTTACTCTTCAGGCAGACTTAAATAATATGATAAACTGGTCTAAAGAGTGGCTGATGCCTATCAACGCGGAAAAGTGTGTCTACATGCACTTGGGGGATTCAAAGGTTAATAAGTACAACATAGGGGATGTGTCATTACCCGTAGTCCGGTCTCATAAGGATCTATGGGTGACAGTGAGTAATGATCTTAAGACGACGGCCCATTGCCGGGAGGTCGCAGCCAAGGGGTTTCAAACCCTCTGGGCTTTAAAAAGGACATTCACTAAGTTATATACTACCATGTTCACCACAGTATACACATCCTTAATGAGAACTAAGCTAGAGAACTGCGTTCAGGCTGCCATCCCCTGTTTAAAAGGTGACTCGGACATACTAGAAAAAGTACAAAGGGCAGCTACCCGTGCAATTCCGGAACTCTGAGGTTTATCATACAAAGAGCGGCTTGAAAAACTGGACCTCTTTACTCTGTCCTATCTCAGACTAAGGGGAGATTTAATTTTGATGTACAGAATACTGAGAAATGATTTCGGACCTAACTTATTCTCTCTCTTTCTTCCCACTAGATCGGGACACCTTAGAGGGCATAGCAGGCTAGTAGAAAAGCCAAGAACGAACAAAATACCCGTGGCATACAGGTTTTCACACCGCGTCATCAATACTTGGAACCTGCTGCCTGAAGCAGTAGTGTCTGCACCTTCAATTGACTCGTTCAAGAAAAGAGTGGACACTCACAGAAGCATACTAGAAAATGAATAACATAGGCCGTAGGCCTTCTGCCCTTACTACACAAATCTGAATCTAAATCTAGTATAGATTGGATTAAGTAGGTCCAGCTTCTCAAGCCGCTCTCCGTATAGAAAACCATGGAGTTGTGGAATTGCACGATCCCTGTATTTAATCAGGATATTTGAGACATCTAAACAGGGTATTGCAGCATAAACGCAGTTGTCAAGCTTGGATCTCACTAATGTTGTGTAAACAGTAGTGAACACATTAGTACCTAACTTCGTGAATGTCCTCCACAAAGCCCATAGGGTTCTACACCACTTAGTTGCGATCCATCGGCAGTAGACCAGGCACATATATGCATCGATCCAAGTTGCAACACCTCATTAGCACAACAAAATGAACACCAAATTCATAGGGGTAGTTACTTCAATGGTAGTAATATATAAAAGAAGGATTGTGTATAAGGATATAATACAAGAAGAAAGAATT